CACAGCTCTCTGTGTGTGCTTCCTAGGGTGGAATATTGTTGCACTAACAGCCCCATTCAGAGCCGAAGAAATTGCTGACCTAGCAAGTACACAATGATTCTTTACCGCTAGAATCCACTCTAAGTCAGTTTAATTATTGGGACCGATTAAAAGTACTAAATCTGTATTCTCTAGAGTGCAGATGTGAGATATACATAATCATCTACACGTGGAAAATATTAGAGGGACTGGTTCCAAATCTGAACACAGAAATAACATCACATGAGACTAGAAGGCATGGCAGGATGTGCAAAATACCCCCCCTGTTGAAAAGCAGAGGTGCAATAGGTACACTGAGGGATAAATATCAACATCAAAGGCCCAAGACTTTTCAACACACTCCCGCTACACGTAAAGAGCATAACTGGCCGGCCTCTCACAGTGTTCAAGAGACAACTCTTGAAACACCAAGGAATATGTTACGACCCTGGGTTCTTCTGTGGAAACCAGAGGTCATATTAAGCTCTAAATAATTTACCTTATGTTATTTTGTGCACTTGTCGATGCGCATTCCTATCTTCCTCGACAGACGTAAGACGAATCTTGTTTCTCATAGTGCATTCAGACTCTTGAGCTTGTTGTGGATTAAGTATAACATTGTAGCAATTATTAACTATTCTTAGAACGAGTAAAGTAAACAATATTGTACATCGGTGAAGATTTGTAATGTGTATAAGCTGCACAATCAATTAGGCTCTTCCTGGAACCACAACAACTCGGGAACTCTGGACTGGACGCTGGCTGCCTCCTTCTCTGGCTGGCGGCGTGGTGTCAACAACTCTACTGTGTTGCTCTGTATCCCTCTCCTCTCCCTCTACCTTATCCTGTGTCTAGTTTACAAAGCTAAGTATAGTGCTGTATTCTCGTTTTCTGGCATAAGTGTGTAGTAATGGTATAGGGTATCGCCAGTGTTTATATTGCTAATTTATTCTAAAGGGGGCTCAGTGGAACCATGTGTTTCTCCAGTGGTACCAAGCTACCTAGAGTCCTTGCTAGTGTCCCTTGCCTAGTAGACTTTACCCTAACTTGTCCCAAGTGTAAGCCTTGTATCCTGCCTACGTGGACCAAGGTAGTTAACATAAGATAGTGTGGTAAAGTAATTATTGTTATTGTTGTGAATGTATATGGAGGGTTGTTAAGTGGGTTTAATAAACAAGTTAGTTTTTGAGTTGTATCCATTACTCCTGTTGTAGTGGCGTAGTTAATTGTATCCCAGACGACAGATCTGTTCTAAAACATTAAAGTATAAACAGGAACCTATGTTCCTTGGGGGCTGGGCCTAATTGTGTCACTACACTGTTACACCTTGATTCTAACTGCTGACCCTGCTCTATAATACTAGATCCCCCATAGCAGTTCACTAGTTTATAACAATACATGATCAACCAGGCTGTGATTCATACATCAGGCTGCGAGCAGCCGCATCCAACAGCCTAGTTGATTAGGCGAACAGCTGTGTCCAACAGCCTGGTTGACCAGATGACCAACTGGGAGGCCTGGTCAGAGACCAGGCCGTGGGTCTGTTGAGCCCCAGACGCTACACAAGGTAGATACAAGGTAGCTTGCAGTGATGGGGCTTGTCCACAACATTATACTGCCTCATCAGCAACAGAACCAACTAGGGAAGCTGGCCGAGGGCTGGGCCTGGGCTGCTTGTGGTGGTTATTGACACTAATGAGTTTTGAGGTAGTTTGGGTGAATCCTTTGTTCTCTGCAATCTTTTCCAGAGCCGTTTGGTGGCGTAGAGGCTGTTTTCTGTGAACCCTCCAACTGTCTGTAAAGCTTCACTGACTTTCTGGAAGTTTTTTAGTGGGGTGGCCGATTGTCACTCGCTCCCTGCACATCTGCGAGGGAGCCAGGTTTTAGCTTTAATTCCTGGTAGGAAAAAACAGGGCTTCTGCAAGTAATGCAACCATTTGGTAAGGAGCAGTCTCAACAAGAGTGTCACAAGAAGGGTTCCATCCAGAAATAGTGAATGAGTACTGTAATATGTAATATTTTATATTTATATATATATATGTATGTATGCATGCCTACAATGTAATATGTACACCTGTATTACACGTAAAAGTGTTTCTGGGCAACTCAATGTAAGTGTCTGGCAACCCGATCCTTTACTGCTGCTGTTCTATTTGGTTGTGCCATCCAGAAAAATAAATAATTTGATGATAACAGCTTAGATCTTGGCACATTATCTATGCTACAAAAACCACAGCAAAATTTTATCATGGGTCTAGGTTACCTATTACAGTGCATCCATATAAATGTATTATAACCATATTTACATCATTTGCATAAAATTTGGGCAATAAGAATTAACATCAAATAATAACCACATTATCCCAGGGGATCACTGCATAATGATAACTGCACTTTTAGGGTTAATTTAGCATTTCTATTTATTATGAGCCATATGTGATAGGAAAAAAGCTTCCTGCAAATAATGTTTTATTAACACCCCTATATACAACTGACCAAGTTAAATACTGTTAATGTTAAAATCATTAAAATCTTTTGAGAATACAGTTGACAAGTTTTCAACACAATTACACATACACAAATATCACATTAAAACTAACACACTAGGCACTACTAACAATATATCAAATACCTCACTTCTTATTTACATTTTAATGCTCTTAAGCAGCACAAATTTAAAAACTTTAATGAAGTACAGTGTATTAAAATTTAAGTTCCATCATTAACAAGACATAAGCCAATTACTCACATTCAGCAAAAAACAAAATATTTCCTACAACTGCAATAATGTTTGTTTTTAACAATTTCATTATAAGGCACTCGACTAACTTCAGATTAGCTTTGATTATTAATCAACATTAGCTCAATGGGCATACAAATCCCATGCACAATTATTTGACTCAATAAGATCTTACTCCAATATTTTTATTTTTATTTATATTATATATATATAATATATATTATATATATATAATATATATATATATATATATATATGTCGTACCTAGTAGCCAGAACTCACTTCTCAGCCTACTATGCAAGGCCCGATTTGCCTAATAAGCCAAGTTTTCCTGAATTAATATATTTTCTCTAATTTTTTTCTTATGAAATGATAAAGCTACCCATTTCATTATGTATGAGGTCAATTTTTTTTTATTGGTGTTAAAATTAACGTAGATATATGACCGAACCTAACCAACCCTACCTAACCTAACCTAACCTATCTCTATAGGTTCGGTTCGGTTAGGTAGCCGAAAAAGTTAGGTTAGGTTAGGTTAGGTTAGGTAGGTTAGGTAGTCGAAAAAAAATTAATTAATGAAAACTTGGCTTATTAGGCAAATTGGGCCTTGCATAGTAGGCTGAGAAGTGCGTTCTGGCTACTAGGTACGACATATATATATATATATATATATATATATATATATATATATATATATATATATATATATATATATATATATATATATATATATATATATATATATATATATATATAATAATTTATTTTGCCTTTGTGGAATACTGTTCAGAGAATTTACATATATTCTTGAATAACTAGCATCATTTTCATCGATACTGCTTACACATTAATAAATTACTTCCTTAATGTAAATGTATAAATTATCCTAGTTACCTAAATACAAATACTGTACAGTATTCTCCTTACAATACTGAGAGTACTTAATACTTTAAGTCAATCAAGTACAAAAACTGTCTTAATACTACTGTAGCGTGTCCATAAAGTCTCAATATTTCTTTGTTTCCCAATTTAGAACTTCAGTTTTGTTCAGACGACATTATCAGCACTCGTCTCTAAACAGGATGTGGCTTCACGTCACGATAAACACGATTCAGACGTCCCTTGAGCCAAGCTCTGCTTGAACCATGTCTAATCACTGGATCAGACATACTTCAAACTAACCCTGGACATCATAATGCCTAGATTTACCACACCGACATTTGCCGGCACAGGGTCTGGGTAGAGTGCGAGGTGTACACAGCGAGAGCCATCAAGAGACTACACATCTGTGGCTAGCACAGTGTTGTAGCAGGTAACAGCAACTCTCACAAATGACAGTGAATGTGTATGCATTACGACATGGACACCATATGGCTAACAACCATCAGTGTTGAGTAAGTCATTTAACCAAACTGTAGCTCTAACAACACACACACACACACACACACAAATAAAGAGAGAGAGAGAGAGAGAGAGAGAGAGAAAGAAAGAGAGAAAGAAAGAGAAAAAGAAAGGAAAAAAAAAAGGAAAAAAAAACTGAAAGAAAAAGAACCTGGAAGAAAAAAGAAAAAGAAAAAGAATAAATACAAAGAAAGAGAGAAAGAAAGAAAAAGAAATAAAGAAAGAGAGAAAGAAAGAAAAAGAAATAAAGACTTCCTTCATGGATATTTTGTACAGTTCAATACATTCAGCAACAACCTAAAAAGGTTTACATTTTCTGAGGAGCTGCCTAAAAAAAATGTCCAATAAACAAACACTAAATAATAACATGGAATGTACATAATATTCCTGACTAGTTAAAAACAAATGATTCCTAGGTACTCAATATTACTATGCTAACACCTCTACACAACACTTCAGTGTTTGGGGATGACAACGTGCGTGTCAGAATTCTGAGGGGTTCAGGTTCCACAGCAACACTAACTTGAGGATACCTTAAAGTTCCCTTGAGGTGTTTTCGGGGATTAGTGAGCCCCCTCGGCCCGGTCCTCGACCAGGCCTACAGCAGAGCCCTGGTCACAAGTGAAGGGGGAGCAGGAAAAGCTGGCACCAGCATTTTTTTTTATGTTACCCATGACCTTATTGCCTTATATATATTAGGCAATATAAGAGAACAACTCTGAAGAGACAGTGTCCAACTTTGTTTTATATGATGTGTTCGTGAAAATGAATAATGTATGTGCATGACGTGTTGCATTTCTCTTGAGAATTTAAATTAGTAAGAGAGACAGTAATGTACATAGTTGTTCAATTCAATATAACTGCTGTATTGATATATCTGGGACTCAAATTAATTGATCATTTGAGGATTAGAAATAGAGCACAATTTGCTTCACAGTCTAATGTGGTTAAACAACAAAAAAACTACAGCCTAAGTTTCAAAGGAAGTGTTTTTCCTATCTTGTGAAGCCAATGATTTAAGGAAATGCTGATAATTTTTTTTAAATCTTGAACCTGAAAATTCTCTTACATTTAAAATTACTTTTGTATTTCAATAAGCAGCTATTACAACTGTTGTTAGCACATGATGCACACACTGCCACAACTGTTGTTAGCACATGATGCACACACTGCCACAACTGTTGTTAGCACATGATGCACACACTGCCACTGCCACAACTGTTGTTAGCACATGATGCAAACACTGCCACTGCCACAACTGTTGTTAGCACATGATGCACACACTACCACAACTGTTGTTAGCACATGATGCACACACTACCACTGCCACAACTGTTGTTAGCACATGATGCACACACTACCACTGCCACAGTACAGTGACAGATGTAAACATTTTAGGAAGCTATAAACAGCAAGAAGACCATATATAAAGTGACTTTACACTTTTAACTCCCAAAGTAACTGTTACTTCTAACTTCTGAATGTTGAGGGAAGTCAGAACTATATCCCAACAAATAAAATACAATACCATAACATCACTGAGGACAAATGACCTCAGTAATTCAAGACCTGGTTATATGCAAGACTAGAAATTCACATTAAAAGAACAAAATTCACCCGTTCCTCTCAAAAGAACTATAACTATGCTTACAAAATACTCATAATACTGCAATAAAAACAATTCTGCTTAATTAAAAATTTTTTTTTAGCAGCACACACTTGTGCCGTGAGTGTTGCGATTACGGCTTTAATATACGTACCCTTGGATTTTGGTCACCAGCTGCACACTGCACTTCCATTATACTTGCCTGTTACTATTACATAGTTGGCATAATTATTCTGACATTTAAAATACTCCAACTTGTTATTTACAAACCACTCAAAATATAATGATGCATAGATAAGTAAATTATATAGAGAAGAGCATGAAATAATAATAATACAACAAATATTTGCTCTTCAAAAGCTATGTAAGACAGAACATAAGAGAATGGTTCCTTCAGAACTAGCCTTATATAACCACGGGTAAACTCAGTATACAGTAATCACATCACCTACAGCAAAATATCAAAAGTGGGGGGATGGGGGGGGGGAAAGGTGTTGCATTACATAACTGGTACAAAAAATAAACGACATCATTAACATGCTTTGGTCCACATTCTACCAGCAACTGCTCACTTGCCACACGTAAAGTGAACACTAAACACAAACAGTCGACTACCAGCAGATTAGCTGCATCAGCCCTCCGATATCCAATATCCTTCATCAATAATACGTATACAAACATTTGAATAATTAGTTATCATCATCAACATCAAACAATGTAAAAATGAAACAAACATCCAGCACCAACATGAACATAATACAACAACCAAGAATCATTATTATATACACTATAACCGAAGTCTAAACTTTAAATCTCGGCTGTAAGCCTCTCTCTCGTCAAATCAATGACCACATGAAAACAGTTATCTAGTTCTAAATACTGCTTATAAAGTTTAAGTATTCCATAGAAAACTTCAATATTTAAATTACAGCTAATAGAAATAGTAATAAAATGTTGTATGTTGGACACAACAATAAAATGTTGGGCACAGTATGCTAAACTAACTGAAGAAAATGCTAACTGTAAGCACAAGTGCATGAAACTCTTGAATACTATGATCACACCCATCAACTCTCTGATTAATGAACAAACTCTACCCTGGAAGCACTGATATACTATTCCAGTAGTGATGTAACTATTGCAATGTACAGCTACAGTACAACCATTCCTTAACTTAAGCAAATTCGTTGTCAAGCGTCATCTTACAATTAAAACTTTAATTCTAAAACTATGGAGGAGTTTCTTCAGGATTAAAACAAAATCAGAAAGAAACTATCCTCTACAAAGTCTTACCAAAATGATTCTTAAAAGTAGATTGAGCAATTTATATAAATAATACAGTTTTAAATCTTACAAATCTGATATTTAATCATACTGTAGTTTACAGTGAAATTATTTAGAACAACATTACAAGACCTGGAATGCATTGCAGTTTAAAATGTATACAAGCAAGTGCAGCAACATAGCTGTGATATAACTCACTAGCCTGTGTCTACACCAGAGTCTTCTTGGGGATGATCCGGTGAAATGATCTCTATTGAAGTGTTTTTACTTTCCAATATACTTGTGGAGTTGGCAAGAGCTGACCGGTCCATGCGCATAATCAGCAGGTCCACAAGGTGATCCATTAGGTTGGGCACCGAGTCATAACCTGGAAAATTCAACCGCCATTAACATGGCAAATAAATACATTAGCATGAAATAACTAAAAAAATTTGTAATCAATCGTGTTTAAAATGGGTCCTCAAGAAAGCTGAACACTTGTCTCAACAGTAAGTTACATGAAATATAAACCAGTCCACAGAAGTACAAGTGCAAATGGTTCTAGGGGAACCACTAGTATTTGTGAACCTAAGCATGAAAACAATCTCTGCCTCAAATACTAAAACTTTAAAACATACATATAAAAACAGTAGAGTCCTGGTTTCCATGGTCGTAATATACATTCTGAATTCATTCAAGTAATAATACAATTTTCTTTCAGCACACACTTGAATCTATTCATATTTGCAAACAAACCACAGTAATGAAATGTAACCATTGTAACAAATTCCAAATAAACAGCAACCACAGAATTTGTTTTAGATACAGTAGTGTAAGCTAGGTGGGAATACAACCGTCCCAACTTTTCTATCTAGTGTTGTCGTTTTACAATGCTCTTAGAGGTTAGAGGAGTGCACAGAGATTAAAATCAATAACGGTAAGTTTACTCTTATTTCTACCACTCATTGAGTTCTACTACTGAACAAATCAATATAAAGGTGTTAGGCAATGTTTATTTATTTATTTATTTATTTATTTATCTATTTTTATATCTATATATAAGTGTTCACTCGATTTAACGACCTATAAGAGGCTGTACCCAGGTCATTAAATCTGGGGCTCCGCTAAATCTAAAGGTTTTAAAATGTCGGTAACTGTTTAGTCATATTTGGGAGAGCAAGAAGATGGATGGTGGGTGGGCTGGCTGGCTGATAGGTGGGGCAAAATTGGTGGGCTGGCTGAATGGATGGATGGATTAATGGGTAACTGGCAGGCAGGCAGAAGTAGGGGGTGGGCAGGTGGACCGGCTGGCTAGTGGGTGGACAGGGTGGGTGGATGGATTGGTGGCTAACTGGTGGCTGGATGGGCAGGCGGGAAGAATGAGCAGATGGGCAGGAAGGGATAGCTAGCAGGGTTGTAGGTGGTTGCCTGGAGGCGGGCAGGGTTAGCAGGTGGGTGGGCAGGCAAGGTTTGGCGTGTGTGGATGGGTGGATCGATTGGCAACTGACTGACTGGCAGGTACGACAGGCAGGTTGGCTGGGTGGATAGGTGGGTGGATTGATAGCTGGTGGGTGGGGGCATGGGCAGGCAGGGTGGGTGGGTGGGGGTATGATAATGACAATTAGTGTGATAATGACAAAGCAATAGTGAATAAAACCAGAATTGAATATATTGAAACCAAATTTTCTGAGGGGAGCCCTGTCGGCTCCCAAGAGCTATAGGACTAATATTAGCTATATTAGTCCGGGACTTCAGTCATCTGGAGTTGTCATGCCTATCAGGAACCACGAGCCAGAACCTAGTTCCCTGAGAGGCAAAGGGAGCAATGGCCTAGGAAAACTCCACTCTTTGATAGCATACTCATGTCTGCCATCGACCAGGGTTGGGCACCCAGGAAGGTAGGCCAATAGACCCCAACTGGTAAAAAAAAATTTCAACCAGAGACTGAAACAGAGACTAAGAACTTCCCCAAATTAAAACAAGGAACAAGCTAAACTGTCATCAACCTGATGTACTGCTTGTTCGCGTCAGCCGTCTGCCCATCAGTTTGGAGACTGAGCAAACAGAAGAAAAAAAGTCTACCGGAGGGAGGGAGGGTGCCAGGCGTTCCATTACATTCAACGCCGGTTTTCTGAGAGGACCCAATTCGGCTCCCAGGACCTAGCTACCTAAAGATAAGTAAAAAAGGGACTTACCAGGGAGGCAGCAGCACCACATGACTCATGACGATGACGGGACAACTGGCTGCAACCGATGGCCCAAGGCCACATAAGACCGACGAGGGCCAGGAACATTCATAAAATAGTGTGTGGCCAGGACCCTGTTTGACCTCCAAAACCCCTCGTGCCCGAATGTCAGCCCAAGACATTTTCCCAAACATAGTAGCAAAAGCCGCAAACTTCCGAACATCATGGCAACAAGGGGCCTCGTAGCCTGGTGGATAGCGCGCAGGACTCGTAATTCTGTGGCGCGGGTTCGATTCCCGCACGAGGCAGAAACAAATGGGCAAAGTTTCTTTCACCCTGAATGCCTCTGTTACCTAGCAGTAAATAGGTACCTGGGAGTTAGTCAGCTGTCACGGGCTGCTTCCTGGGGGTGGAGGCCTGGTCGAGGACCGGGCCGCGGGGACACTAAAAAGCCCCGAAATTATCTCAAGATAACCTCAAGAAGGGTAGACCGCAGGCTGGCTAGACTTGATAACCCTGCGGATGACTTGAGAGACCCGAGCCTGTGAACAGGGGCAGAGGGATATCTGATCAACCCAAAGCGCATCCCCAGACACACAACCCGAGGCCCTCTGGTAACGGTGTAAAGCAGCAACTGGACACAAAACACAATGCACCTCTGGCCTTACCAACCAAGCATCAATATCCCACGAACCCCTCCAAAAGCCAGCTGTCCTATTCTTTACCAGAAAAGAAGAAGGATACAAACAAACAAACCATCCACCATGACCAAAAGAGCAGAAGTTCCTGTGCCAGAGGAGATCATGAAGCTCCCCGACCTGGAAACAGGCGAGAAACCAACTTTGGGGACAAAGTTGTCTCGACCACACCCAAGAGCACCCACTCCAGGAAGAACTGACTGAGCACAGGGGAAGAAGCCTGCCCCGCCAGCCTCACCAGCCCTGACCCTTTGAGAAGAGGAGCCGCCCAACGCCACCACAGGCCGGTGAATACAACCCGAAATGCCCACAAATCATAGGACCAAGCGTGGGGAAACAGTCAGTCTTTACCTCCATCGCGACCCGTTAACCCGAAAGGGCCGATGCCCCTTCTGAGATGCCAACTCACGCACAGAGCGAGCACCGCGTGAATTAGATGAAGAAGGCTCCATAGGAGGCACTGGCACAGAAGCTGGCAACAAGGGCTCACCTCGACCAACAGAGACCTGAACCCTGGCATAACCCCTCTGGGAAGTGGGAGAACGCCTACCTCGGATCACAAACAAATCAGAAAGAGGACAGCAACTAACAGAAGCCACCTGCAAAAACCGAGTCTGTAAACAACAGGGGACAGAAAGGCGAAGAAAAGTGAAGAGCCAGGACCCAGGCCAAATCAATAGAAAGAGAAAGGGCGGCCTGCTGACACGCAAGGCGAGAGGAGAAAAACAGACACTGCTTCCCGGAGGATAGGCACATACAGTTTCAGCAATGCAGCCGACGCCCTAGCAGCCGAGGTCAATACCCCAAACGATGGCCCGGCACTCAATGCCTCCACAAGCCAGTCAGAGCACAGCTCGAGAACAGAAAAGAAACGCAAGACCGAGGTCAAATGCCTGTGAGCCCAAAGATCCTCAGCAACCAAGGCATCTGAAAGGGAAGAGACCTGAGTGTGCAACTGGAGCAAGCCCACCTCATGAAGCACGGGAGTAAAAAGGCATGTATTAAGGTGCTCAAAAGTGCCCCTCAAGCAAACCTGCAACACAATTGTACCCGCCATTCCAGCATGCGGGTATGACAAAACCCGTACAAAGCTCCAAGCGAAAAGAAAGGACGGTCTGCAAGCCAGGAAGACTCCGGAACTTCATAACGCACCTAATACAGAGAGGAGGAACCGAACTTGAAAGCCGTCAGGTCCAGCACAGAGGCAAAGTCCAGATCTTGCAGGAAGTATGCACCAAGGGCCTCCTGAACCCCTGCAGGGAAAATCCGAGAGGTTGAAAACTTCTGGAAGGACGAAGCCGAGGAACTCATTGGAACCAGGGAAGGAGCCGAACCCATATCAAAATCGTACAGGAAAGGGAGATACGAAAACCTCAAACCCTGCAACAGCAAACCCCGCCTCGAGGGCATCAAGGCCCAGGCAGGGTTGAAAGGGGCCCCAAGCACCCTAGGCCCACTCCTCCTCCTTCCAAGTCCCGAAAGCCTCAAAACCAGGCTCCGGGGCAGTCGACCTCCACCCTTGAAGAAAAGGCAGAGTCCAGGGAAAAGGAATCAAAGAAGGGGGGTCTTCTGGTAAGACACAGAAGCCTTAGCGGGAGGATCAGGCTCAAAGGCCTCTGTCCCAGTATTGAAAGGGGTAGCCCCCTCCCCACCTCCAAAACCCTCAGATGTTTGGGGGCTGGCAGCAGGGGGGAAAGGTGGGAGGAGGGTGAACCACCTTACTTTATCTTGAGGTTACCTTGAGGTGATTTCAGGGCTTAGCGACTCCATGGCCCAGTCGTCGACCAGGCCTCCTCATTGCTGGACTGGTCGACCAGGCTGTTGGATGCAGCTGCTCGCAGCCTGACGTATGAGTCACAGCCAGGTTGATCAGGTATCCTTTGGAGGTGTTTGTCAAGCTCTCTCGTGAATACTGAGGGGTCAGCCAGTTATGCCCCTTATGTGTGGTGGAAGCGTGTTGAACAGTCTCAGACCACTGATGTTGATAGAGTTCTCTCTCAAAGTACCTGTTGCACCTCGGCTTTTCAATGGGGGTATTCTGCACATCCTGCCATGCCTTCTGGTCTCATGTGATGTTATTTCTGTGTGCAGGTTTGGAACCAGCCCCTCTACTATTTTCCATGTGTAAATTATTATGTATCTCTCCCGCCTGCACTCAAGAGAATACTGTATAGATGTGTGTTCTTTAGTCGGTCCCAATAGTTCAGATGTTTTAATGAGTGAATTCTAGCAGTAAAGGATCTCTGCACGCTCTTCAGGTCAGCAATTTCTCCAGTTTTAAAAAGGGCTGTCATTGTGCAGCAGTATTCCACTCTAGAGAGCACAAGCGTTTTGAAAAGTATCATCATCGGTATAGCATCTCTAGTGTGAGAGGTTCTTGTTATCCAACCTGTCATTTTTCTTGCAGTTGTGACGGCTACTTTATTGTGATCTTTAAATGTAAGGTCTTCCGACATGAGTACACCCAGATCCTTTACATTGCCTTTTTGTTCTATGTTATGATTTGACTGCATTTTGTACGTGGTTTCTGCTTTTATATTTTCATTTTTTCCATAGCGCATGAGCTGGAACTTATCTTCGTTAAACATCATATTTTCTGTAGCCCATAGAAAGGCCTCATTTACTGGAGGTTTGCCGTGTCCTCTATGATGTCTACACTCATAAAAATCCTAGTGTCATCTGCAAAGGATGATACAGTAGTATAGGTTGTGTCCTTGTCTATGTGCAATATGAGGATGAGAAAAAGTATTGAGCAAGCACAGTACCCTGGGGGACTGAGCTCTTCACAGTTGATGGACCAGATTTTATTTTGTTGACTATTACACATTGGGTTCTATTAGTCAGGAAATTGTAGATCCATCTGCCTATTTTTCCGTTTTGTTTGTCTTCCATGGCATTTAGTACCATCTCATAGTGGTCTAGCAGCTGTGAACTGGCAAGAGCGCCCTGTTCTGAAACCATGTTATCCGGGGTTATGGAGATGCTGTGATTCCATATATTTTGTGATCTTACTTCTTAGCACTCTCCCAAAGATATTTATAATGTGTGATGTTAGTGCTATCGGTCTAATTTTTTGCCTCCGCCTTATTTCCTCCTTTATGGAGTGGTGATATCTCTGCAGTTTTTAATATGTCAGGGATAACACCGGTATCTAGGCTTTGTCTCCAAAGAATGCAAAAGGCCTGCAATCACACCAACAGGAAACGGAATTGGGGCTGCGGACTGAACAAAGGTCAAAACGACTAATACCCTCCCCCCTCCACAGTCCAGGTCCCTAAAACAAAAACAGGGCAGCCCTGGGGCATTGAAACGGGCAACCAACCTAGCACTTTGCAATAACCTAAACCGAGCATGCAACGCAGCAACCACTTGACCCCTAACATCTCCAGAAGAAGAATGGGTAAACTGGATAAGGGGAAAAAGTCTTGCACGATTCCGGGTCGAAAGTATCGTCGACCCAACAAGCAGCATGACTGAGCCAAAACAGATGATCGTCACCCCGAGACAAGGTCAACAAACAACCTTCAAACTCGCACAAAGTGAGATGGGATTCTGAGGACATATCCATTGGTCACCCAAGCCCCGACGAGGGTTTTCAGGGCCCGCAGGGAGAGATGTCCCTACGAGAAGCTCAGGCACCGGTGCTGCAAAGCTGGTTGAACCCCTTAATTACTGGTCAAACTGATCTCCTGTGAAGGGAGCAACCACTGGGGGGCCGAGAGGAGGACTACCAATAGAACCTAGGCTGACATATTGAGGAAGCCAGGCAGCCCTCTACCAGAGGGCTGACCCACCTCCCTAGAAAAGAAACTAAAGAAAGTAAAGAACCCCCGAAAGTGCACCACAACAACAGGAGGCCACAGAGAGGGGCACGACCGCCGCTTGTATGCTAGCTGCCCAGCACTGTGCGCCCCAACCTGCAACACACACTCCATACTCAGGGCCAAGCGAAAGCATCCAAGACCCAAGCTGACCCCAAGGGCGAGGCAGAAGCTAAGCGACTGCTACCCATATGGGAGCGAGACCCGAAAACTCTAGGGAAGATAACCCTGAAGCCCAAGGGAAGTACTTACAAGGCGGCCAGGAAAGATAACCCTAAGCACATGCAGCCCTAGTACTTTAAACTCCTGGCCAACGCTCCAACACACAGCAGGTACCACAGCTAGGGCCAAAATCCTGACAGGCAATCGAGACCAGAGTAGACATCCGCCAATGTCAACAAACTGGTGGGCAGATGGCCAGCTCGGTGAGGAGGGGCCTCCCGATTTGCTTGTTTCCTCGTTTTTCTTAAAAGTTTTTAGCCTCTGTTTTGGTCTTCGGTTGCAATTTTCTAACATTTTGGGTCTGTTTTGGGGGGCCTACCTTTCTTTGTGCCCAAATATACTCTCAAAGAGTGAAGTTTTAATAGGCCATTGCTCCCTTCGCTCCTCTCAAGGAACCAGGTTCTGGCATGTGGTTCTCGGTAGGCATGACAACTCAACATGACTGAAGCCCTAGACTAATGTAGCTAATATCTGTCCTATAGCTCCTGGGAGCCAACATGGTTCCCCCTCAGAAAATAAAGTACAAATAAAAAAAAACATTTATAGTGACATCTACTGAATACTCATTATTAAAATAATAAGAATTATACTCGACCCTTACTAGGAAATGCATTAACATCAATAATGCCATACTTCCCAGTGCTGCTATCAATCACAACATCAATACCGAGGAGATCCATATTTAGCGCCTCTCGAAGATTTGTTACGATCCTGAAATGTTTGTATTGAGATGCATCAATAATAATTTCCTATTAATTTTTTTATTACTGGCTTAAATTTATGATATATAGTACATATTTATGTTTATTATGGATAACCATAAACCACCAATGATAAAATACAGTGCTAATAAACAAAAAATAAAGCTAATGCTGAATGCAATGAAATGCCTTTTTCTAGTAAACCTCCAGTAGCTCCTTGAGCTTAGCTCCGATACAACCAAGACTTAGCTCAACACACCACACCTCTGAGACCCATCTCTTGCCTACCACAGATCAGCACCAAACTCTGACTCGCTCTATGAGCAAGGGAAGCAAAGGGCTCAGATCAACCCCAAAACTAGGAAAACCCACCGGTAAAATATGTGCAATAAAACAATTGACTACATGAAGGAAATTTGGCACCACTAGGTATCTACTGACCACCAGTAGATAGTAGCCTAGGTCGCCTGAAGTCTCGGCCAGCCTGCGCCCTCACACACAATGGTGCTGTCGCTGCAGAACTTCACCGGTAAGAGGGAACAGTGAGCTACCAGAGGTTTGCCAAAATACCAGCGCTGAATGCAATGAAACGTCAGTTTCTGGGCGAGGCCTGGTGGCTCCCTGAAGCCAATATCTTCGATAATGTGACATACTTCTGAATCATCTCAGTTGTAGAGTTCTACAGTCTACTGGGGAATAGAGCCAGAACCTGGCTCCCTCACAGAGGCACAAGGAGTGGTGGCATTTATTACTTGTTATTAATTCATGCCACCTTTGGCTTTAAATGGGACTTCAGCCTCGTTTAACGCCTAATGAACAGCCTAAAGCACTCCTAAAACCATGTAAACAATCAAAATTTTATGAAACTAGTACATGCTCATATGACCCGCCTCCCCACTCATTTGGGAGAAGAAGGGAGGAAACCCGAGGTCAGCCGGCTGCTTCACCCTCAGTTCTATAATGATGGAAACACCCCCCCCCAATGACTGGAGGGAGGGAGGGTGTCAGGGAGCCACCCTCACACCCTCTGTAATAAAATGTACTGAGGGTGGACGCTTATCTTTTTGGGTGCCTGACCCAGTCAATGGCAGACATAAAATGCTTCCAACCACATGGGGGATTCTATAGGCCATTGCTCCTCGTGCCTCTCTGAAGGGGACAGGTTCCAGCTCGTGGTATCCAGTAGGCTTAGAACACTTTGTGCATTGACTGATGCCAGGGTTTAATACATTCATATCAGCCCGGTTAGCTCTGGAGAGCCGAAGGAGCTCCACCCAGAAAAAGCCTTCAAGAAACAATCCCAGACTGAAAGGAACCAAGCGGAAGAAAGGAAAGAACATGTCAAAAGCCAAAGCAGGCTTAGGAGGCAGAAGTGCAAGCTAGAGGTGAAACTGAGCCAAAGTAGTATCGGCCCTGAATTCAAGCTGCAGTGGATCCAACGCCACACAAGACAAGGTGACAGTATTCTGCATGAGATGCAGATCAAAAATGCTAAAACAGAAATAAGCACCACCCATTTAGACGCTGAAGAACTGCAACAATGAGAAAAAAGTGGCGATACAAACACCTTGATACCTCATATTGCCACCTCAAAAAACCAGTGCCGAATGTAATGAAACACCATTTTCTGAGTGAGCCCCTACGGCTCCCTGGAGCTTATCGGGCTAATGAGTTATATTAGACCGGAAAATTAGCTATTGAGTTCAGACTTACCAGGGACCAGTGCCAGAACCTGACCCCTTCAGAGAGATTTCAGGGAACAATGACCCTGGAAAACTCCCTTATGGTTAGGGGTTTTCCTTATATGCCATCGACCAGGGTTATGCACTCAGAAAGGTAGGCATAACAAAACAAACCCCACATGGTAAGAAACTAAAACAAAAAAAAAAAACGAACAGAGGTAGAAACTCCCTACAATCCCAAGGAAACAAGCAAACAATCAAACATCACACTTTACTGCCGTGCCGTGGTCCGAGAGTCCCAAACGAGGCTAAGCCAGGTACGAACCCGAGACGGAGCTAGATGACACTTCCTCCAGTTCACCAGGAATGCAAACCCAGCGAGCTGGGAAAGAGCCACATCCCTGGCAAGCAGACAAGCAGATCGGCTGGGATGCCACACCAACTAGTCGTTGAGGTAGGTACAAAATCTTGATACAAAACTACACACAACCGAAATTTATACAGGGACGGAGAATATGAAAATCTCCGGCTCTGCAACAATAAATTCTCCCCAGAAGGCACAAGGAACCAGGCAGGATCAATAGGAGCCCAAGCGCTTCAAGAGGACTACCCCCCCTCCCGAGTCCTGGGAACCCCAGACACAGGAAAACCATAGAATGCAAAGGAAGTACTTACTGGGCATCTGGGGAAGGTAGCCCTAGACTCATGCATCCTAGTGTACTAGAGAACACCTGGCAACCACACCACACAAAGCTGGCAAAGCCATAAAGGCCAAAGTCAGTCAATAAAGCGAGGACAGGGGAGATTGGTGACACCTGGCACATCAACGAATAAACCAAGATGGTGGCCTGCCAGCTCGCCTGAGTGGGATCCACCTTCCCCCTTTCAGGGGAGAAGGGAGGGCCCTAATGAGCGGGCGTGCTAGTTGGAGGAGGATTTGCTCGTTTGTGTGTTTGTTTTTGGGGGGGAGTTCTTTGGTTCTGTTCGGTCATAGGTTGCAAGTTTTTCCAGTTGAGGGGTTTGTATTGGTTCATCTATCTTTCTGGGTGCCCTCCCCAGTCGATGGCAGACGTGACATTCTAAATGTAAAATGCTCATAATGGCCATTGCTCCCTGCGCTTCTATGAGGAGACCATGTTCTGGTGCTGGTCTCCAGTAGGCACTAGAACTCCCAGGATTGATGGCACCAAACTAATATGGCACATGTCAGCTTAATAGCTTCATGGAGGTGATGAAGTTCCTCACAGAAACAAGTTATTACGAAATCTGTGCACTAGGGATACAAAAGGAGAGAAAAGAAAGACTGGGAATACTTACTTCTACACAAATGGTGTTAAAAATAATAATTCAACAGGGAATATAAAATACCTATTGAACACTGCTGGGTCAGCTTTTGGAAGATCTTCTTTCATATCACTGGGATCAAGCTGGGTGAGTGGAGACTGAGAATCCGCCTTAGACACATTATTGGAGTTGAAGTGTACCGTTTCCTGCTCTGCTTAAAAACAGATATGTACTTTAGAATTTTTGTTTACCAAGATATAAAGTTATATGATTAACTAGGTGGTTCATTGGATGGCCTTATTGCCCATGGAAGCCCTATTGTAAGAATGTAAACTGGATAACCATTAATCCACAAATATATTTCCTTTCACTGCTGCTCTTGTGATGGATGTTTTCATAATCTTTATTCTTTATTTTCCTTATGTGCTTTTTCATAGTCTATCTTTTATTTTCCTTATATTTAATAAAAAGATGCTCATATCTTTATCTATCCTACTTCATTTTATGCATGCGTTTGTTGAACAAATCTCCATTCTTTTGAAGCATCTTTGTTTTTGATCAAAACATGCAACACAGTTTCAAATCATCAACAGCCAAACAATCGGGTGGAATTTTGTAACAAATGTTTCCCAACTGTTCCTTCAAAGCCAATTCTTTAAGGCACATTAAATATATTGAGAAGAATCAATTTAAGGTCACCCCCTTGTTCCCTGGTGGAGCAAGAGGTCAAAGATCTCTCTTGAAACCATGCTCTCGCTGACAACTTCCCAATGTTGAAGGAAGGTCTACATACAATTACATAGACATTGTAAATGTGTTCAAGATTCATTAAAGAATGCTGTATGCTGACTTGGCTATTGTAAAAGTGAAATGGCAGCCACTTGCTAGATAGAAACAAGAATAAGGGAGAAGAACTAGGATTACGCACAGTAGGCAAACACACATGACAGCAAATAAACATCAATATATACACAAGGAAAAAGGGGGAAATAAAAATAGTATTTATGGTAAAATAATGAGATGGAGAGTAAGGAGCAGACAGCAGGCAGCACTGCCATGTAATGGCAGCCAGAAATCAAGAGCCATCAGCGAAAAAAGCACTTCCTTGCAGTTCCCTCATGGTAAACCTTCCATAGCCAACCAAGGTCAACCAATTTATTACATTGAAATACGTCGCATATAGATAACTATACAGCATTCATATTAATTGTACAGTCACATATATTTGAAAAGATGGATAAGGTGACAGCAGACTAAACCTTGCACTTCATGGCTAAATTTTAATTGATAAAATATTATAAAATAATTCAACTACAATTTTACAATAATGTGTGCTTGCTAATTAATCTCAAAATTGAAGGAATTAAACTATCCTATTTGTTAATATTAAACTAACCAAATATGGATCAAAATTTGGGAGAAAGTTTACATTAAGTGTAGCAAAATATTTCAAGTTCTTGATCTATCTCGAGTCATTTACTCTCCTAAACAGGGACTGGAAATATAATGAAGAAAACCTAAGAATTTTCAGAGCACACTTAAAATCAAATCGTGGATTCCAAGAGTAGATAGATATATTACACGAAGTATAGTGCTCTTTTGATTTAAATTCCTTGTTAAAGTATGAAACACAGTGCTAGTGTTAATGTTTTAGTAAATGAACAAATGTATGCCATATAAAATGCAAGTAGCTGCCTTAGTGGAACTGGATTATTATAATATTCCCAACATACCCTTACATGAAGCTATATAAATTAAACTGAATTAAAAAGATGACATTAATTCTTTTTACTATTCACTCGATAAAAGACATACGATATTAAAATTATTTTATCATCAACGATTGGTCAAATATTGACGAAACTACTGCCCGAAACGCTTTGCGTAATAGTGGCTTAGAGCTAGTACATACAATGCCTATCTATAAATCCATCAACGTTTTGTATCTCACCTTGTATGTATGTACTTTACCTGAATAATTATTTGTATTTTTTGTATTTTATTGATGGTAAGAGCTGAAGGTCAAGTTCCTTTGGAACCAATACATGTCTAGTTAGGTCTACCAAGAATAGACAACAGCCAAATTTTGCCATTGAATTTTTTTGGTCAAAATTTATATAGTTTTAGACCATATATGTAAAATATAAGCACAGTATCAAGTTTATATACTGCAGGATGAGGGCCAGTTTAGGATAACATCAACCAGATATTAATAAGAATTCAAATTAAATGTAAAACATTATTTGTATATGCATGCATGATGGAGGCTACTATGCAGAAACAAGCAGATGTATCTATGCCTACTAATATGACGTGAAAACAGGCAGTACTGTATACTCTTAATAACTGTGAGTGTTGAAAAAAAGGGGAACCAAAGTAAAACACTCCTTTCTGATAACCCATGGATGCTCCTATAGCCAGCTTCAATATGGTCCACCCAAGAGTCATAGCACATGCCATGCTCTAGATACTTTTATTTCCTCCACAGCAGGGATTTTCCAAGTGGGCCCGTTATGAATGTAGGGATTGGAGACAGTGACAAGTCACACTTAATCATTCACCTGCGCATAGTGACCAGGGTTGCTTTTAGGACCTGCATAAGATTTTAAAACTCCCACAGGTACACAGGGCTCGCATCCACTTCCTCAGGTCTACAAAAACAGATGCCATCATGGAAACAAATCATGGGCACTCCTCCTGGATGTGATGGCCTCTGTAATAACGCAGCAACCAACTGAAGTGCATTCAGCACTATCATACAGCTCATGCCTACAGCATCACCTCATGATGATAAACTAAAGAAGTATTTGCAATTATTTATTGATGACAGAGGACCCTGACAATGATAAAGATTTCGTATTTAGATATCGGTAAACCCGATGCTGGTGACGATGTTCCTAAAATGAGGCAGACAGGCACAACACACAGCTACAATTTGATGCCTCTACACATTATGCAACAGGACCTTGTGTTCCTTTAGAAAATTTATGTGAAAAATTATTCACATTCAGGATTTTGTGACCAGGATTCTGATATTAATAGACGTAATTTACCTCGAGTTAGTGATGTACACTGAGCGGCACTTTGCTTTGTCAGGTGCCGTTGGCAAAAGGTGAGTGCGTGTGTCTATACTGTTCATTAATCAATGGTTACAAGACTATCACACTAGCCAGAACTGCTTAGTGGCTCACAATGCTCCACAAACATCTAGATAATTAGATATAATGCAGTAATACAGTGTGATAACAGCAAAAATTACATTTTTTGCTCCAATAATATATTGTAGTATGCATATTAGTTACACACTTCTACACTGTAAGTGATATAAATAATAATATTGATAGCCCAATGCATCATTGCAGTTGTAAGAGGCAATATCAATAAAAAACAAATAAAACAGCGTGTTTAATGTGTGTACTTACAACCTTATCAAAAGGCCCACTTCGACAAGAAAACCCCAAAGTACCAGTACGACCACAACACGTGCCAAGACCCAAAAAGATCAGTCTCCAAGCCAGGAAGACCCCGGAACCCCAGAAGGCAGAACCCGGTCACACACGAGGAAACAAAGCCCCCTGAACCCACAAAGTGGGCCCAAGAGGAAGAAAACCTCCGGAAGAAAACCAAAGAACGTGCACACTCACAGGGACCTAGCAGGGGCAACCACCGGAAGAAGGAAGAAAACCCAGTACACAGGGAACACAGGGGGCAAGAACGAAGGCAGATCCCCCCCCCCCATCGGGCAGACAAACAAAAAGAAAAAAGAAAAACCCCGCAAGAGAACAGCGTACCCAGGCGGAACAGAGCCGGCCGCCATGATTGGTGAAAACAAGCTGCGCAGTACCCTACGCCCCACCAGTGCAAACTGCCCCTTACCCTAAGGCGAACAAGGGAGACAGAACACTTGAGCACACAAAGGGCGGCCGAAAACCAAGCAGTAAACGACCTAGCAGGAGCAGAACCCAAGGAACTTTTGAAAGGTGGCCCCAAGTCCCAGGAGCAGTACTTAAAGTGCACCTAGGGAAAGAAACCCTAGGCACATGAAGCTCGAGTACTGGAGAAACACTACCGGCTCACGCACCACCTAGAAGACAGTCACGACACACTAGGTACAGTGCTGAAACAACCACCGGAGCGGGAGCACACGACCTCAGCCTCTAACATCAGCCAAAGAACGCGACGGCTATCCACCAATGATGGTGGATAACCGGCACGGTAGGTCTGGGGCTTCGCCTTCCCCACTGCGCAAACAGCGGCATGGCAACGTGTGACGTCATGATCGTTTGCTCGTTTCTTTTGGGGAAGTTCTATTCACCTGTTCGGCTTGTGGTAGCAATTTTCACCAGAATAGGGGTTTGTTTTGGGACGCTTATCTTTCTGGGTGCCTGACCCGGTCGATGGCAGACATAGAATGCTTCCAACCACACGAGGGTTTCTATAGGCTATTGCTCCCCCTTTGCTTCTCTGAGGGGGCCAGGTTCTGGCTCATGGTCCCTGGTAGGTGCATAGAGCTTCATACACATGACTGATGCCAAAGTCTGACATTAGCATATCAGCCTGGATAAGCTCCGGGGAGCCGAAGAGGCTTCCCCCAGAAAGCCCTAATCTGGTCCCTAATCATCAAAACAAGCAAAAAGAGACAAAGAAAATAGAGTTTTAAATCTCTGAAAAAAGCTGCCAAAAAAATTCGAAGTCCCAAGCTCTGCAAGTTGTGACCGATTTATTTGTTGACCAATTTAATTCTTTCTTCACAGTTAGGAACGGGTATGCACTCTCTAGGATGTAAAGCTTACAAAAAAAATAAGTAAAAAAAAAAAAGTAAAAAAAAAAAAAAAAAAAAAAATATATATATATATATATATATATATATATATATATATATATATATATATATATATATATATATATATATATATATATATATATATATATATATATATATATATATATATGTCGTACCTAGTAGCCAGAACGCACTTCCCAGCCTACTATGCAAGGCCCGATTTGCCTAATAAGCCAAGTTTTCTTGAAATAATTGTTTTTCGACTACCTAACCTACCTAACCTAACCTAACCTAACCTAACCTATAATGATAGGTTAGGTTAGGTTAGGTAGGGATGGTTAGGTTCGGTCATATATCTACGTTAATTTTAACTCCAGTAAAAAAAAATTGACCTCATACATAATGAAATGGGTAGCTTTATCTTTTCA